GTCAGGTTAAGCGAACAAAAAGAAAAAAAAACAAATGGATAAGTCTGTTCAAATTATTAATTATATCAAGTCGCGGCCACTATGTCAAAACTTTTCTTAACACTATCATCATTCCCAGCTTCACCAAACAGAAGTTAGGTGGCTCCCTTGTGCGAAAGCACATTCCAAATTTCAGGAATTATTTCTATTGATTGACCACACTGTCAAATTGGCCAACGATTTCAATGATGAGAAATGGCATTCTGTCGTAATTATCAGATATTTTCATTAATATGAATGAGACGAGTCTTTCTTTGCATGGGAAGAGTATCACACTTTTAGATGCGAATGCTGATTAACAAAGTTAAAAGAAAAATCCAGTTTTGGGTTGAATTTGTTGAGAAGGAAGAAGTGGGGTGTTTTCCTGTGTTAAATGACTTTTTTAAGAAAACAAACAGGAGCTTGTGAAAGACGCGATTGATGAAATGGACACCTTCGAAGTTTGGAGATGTCCTTTGAGCAATACTTCCCAACTGCTCGAGATCAACGATGCAAGACCATGAATGGGTGGTCAAACCGTTTTCAGTTTGGACAAAGCCAACCAAGGTATCTTCATGTGAATACGAAAATGTTTGATAGACATTTTTCAGCCTCCACTTGAAATCTACTTTTGAGCCTGATATTGTCCCTAATTTTTGTCTCCGTCTGGAATACAACTTATTTCAACCACTCGATGAAAAAGCAATAAGTGTTCATTTGCCAAACCTTTGCAAATCTGGATTGTCTATCTATACAACCACCATAACTAAATACCGAAGCTGTGTAGATGCTACTCGTCATCTGTATCCAGGTATCAAAAAAATATGCTCAACATATCCGAATTTTGCAGGCTAAAACAACCTCACACTTCTCATTAATACATTAGTCATTAATGTTCAAATTATTTTGTTGTTAGTTTTTTAGTTTCACATAGAAACGTCGCCAAAGTGAAAAAGAATATTCTGCTTTTGTCTAACATCCTTGGCCTCTCCACCCCAAAACCTAACAGATTTATTTGTTATGCTCCATAGGTTGCTAAATTTTTTTATGTATCGCATTTATTTGTTTTATCCGTTCGGTATTGTATGACCTCCTATTCAGCGTAAAAAGCTATTTTTGAGTATCTTAGGTGAATACAGTATTGAGGTATATGAGGGATAGGATGGATCTAATAATTAAACCTTGAAGGACTTTACCAGCAATGTGCCTGTGTTGGCAGAGGGCTGTTTGAAAAGAAACAGAAATAATTTTATGGAGATAAAAGTTATTATTTTTGTTATTTACAGAGGGTTATGTTAAACAGTGCCAATGTGTGCCTTGTGTATGCGAGGTGGTTCCTGACATTTAACCTAATATAACAACATTACCAACATACGATCCAAGCTAGTGGTAGGTTGGTTAGACGTGGTCCGAATTCAATTATTCCGTTATTACATTAACTCTTTACGACCTTAAGCACCGCAACCAATATGTATCTATTCTGCTATCTCCGTTATTGTCTAGAGCATTTCTTTAAGCTTAAGACTTTTCAGCAGATACAAAAGCTTTGTTAAGTACTCCCTTTTCTATCATTCAGGCATAAGCGTTACGTCTTTTTTCCCTAGAAATATCTGCATATGATTGTTTCTGCAGCTCTGAATCTCTATGCTTCCGGAGTCTGCAGTGTCCAGTTGGCAGCCCAACTATTGTTCTAGACCTAACACGACCTAGGTTTAGTAATTCTACCTTTAGGTTTTGCGATGATCCTTTGATGAACTTTTTCGCATGCCACTTTCCTTGAAGAGAACCATTGAACCATGGAGTTATTCTTAACCTATAGTTTGATGGATCTGCGAAGTAGTCCGTTTATGTAAACATATTCAATAACAGGCCGGATTTCTCCATTCAAAAATGCAGGAATTTATATTACAAGAGAAATGATAAAATATTGTTGACAAAAATACCGTATTGACTGGATTGGGGAATAGCATCAATGAAATAAATCTTAAATGGAAAAATTCAAATGATTATAAAGGCTCGACGATCTAATTATTTATGTCCCTACAAATATGCTCCCAATCACCTCTGTAGACTTTGTACAAATATTTAATTGACCAAATGGTTGGCGACTCACCTCAAGACATGATATACAGTGTATAAATGTAAAAATGTAAATAACCTCAAATTACGAGATGTATATTTTATTAATACAGGCAGTAATAAATAAATTTAAAAAAATTATTTGGCGATAAACGCTGTAAGTTTTACAGAAACTAACCTTGAAATGTATCTCATTATAATTCAGATCATGAACTTAATTACGTTTAATTATTCATTTTGTATAATATGTTAAATTGTAGTGTGACTGAGATTTTTTGTCCTAATTCTTGTCAAAATGAATATGTACTACACAAACAAGAAAATATGTGTTAACGTTAAAAAAGTAGTGTTAGATGTGGATCCAATGTATGTTTACGATTAAAAAGAAGAAACTACAACCACTTGCCAGCTTCCAATTCCACTATAATCCACATAGTCAACATATTTGTTTAAAAAACTAGTTTCTTATTGACGGGTCACGTTTCTAACATCCATGCTAAGTTTTTATTATTTTTAATGCAAATTATACGGCATATTTGAGGATTTTGATTGCACATAAATCTGGTTTCTACTTATTCATTTATTAACACATTTGCATTGCTAAATTGGAATCAAATTCTTTCAGTGTTTACCAAGAATTCCTTTTTAATTAGAAAATCAAGAGAATTGCACCAGAGTCCGTTTAAGCAGGAAATGCATTGCTTTTCCTAAGATGCGTCGAAAAATGCACCACCCTGCAAACCAAAAATCTTTCATTCCGATTTAACCGAAACCCTCACATCGAAAATACACCACCCTGTATATGAAAAATCTCAATTCCGATTTAACCGAAACACCCCACATTCGATTATGTAGGATTATAGTGTATTTATCGTTGGGCAAATTCTAGGTCTATGCTTTTTTATGTTTTATGTTAAATTCTAGGTCGTAAAACAAATGCTTCCGTTTGGAAAAGTGGACTTCGTCGTGTGTCAACCGCTGAGGTCTTAAAGTCAAACAGCAGCAGCAACAGAAAGAGCAACAGTGCTGTTGTTTTCTTGCTGGCTTTGAAATTTTAATTATCTCGGGGTTCACTATTGTATGGAGTTTTTCCAGCCAAAGAATAACGTTGAGGCGTATTACATTTGTTAAAATATAGAAATTAATAGCTGTAACAAATGTAAATCACCTCACCCTTATTTTTACATCTTGTTGGTTGGAAAACGCCGTAAAATCGTGAAATGTAAGACATTTTTATTTAGTTTTCCCTAACCAAGGTAGTATATGAGTATATGAAGTATATGAAAAATCTCAAATCCAGTTTAACTGAAACACCCTCACATACGATTATACAGGACTATAGTGTATTTGTCTTTGGATTAATTTTAGGTCTATGTAGGTATAATAGATGATGGGGTTTGATCTGCGTGTTGGCTAACTCATGTTGAACACCGGGTCTGTCTTCACTCGCGGGCTTTTTGTTTGAGTTATCTATGTAGGTAGATGAACACAATTTTAGAGGATCTATGGTTTTTTTATGCCGTAAAACAAATACTCCCGTTTGGAAAAGTGGACTTGGTCGTGTGTCCCGATCCGGGCTTAACGTCAAACAGCAGCAGGAACAGAAACAGCAGCAGAGCAATTTTGCTTTAATGCTGGCGTTGAAATTTCAATTATCCCGAGTATCACTACTTTATGTAGTATTTTCAGACAAATATGTAAAAATAATATTGAAGGGGAATTATATTTGATACAACTTTATGTTAAGTGTATAATTTGTATGTTAATTTAAGTTTTATTTGAATGTAAATATGTAAGGGTCAACTGGCAGACGACTAGATCATGCCATTACAAGTATTATTTTGTAAAAAAAGTGTAATATTTTGTTTTCTTTTCTAAATATACTTTTATATTTAAAAAAACTATACTGTAAAATTAAATTAAATTCTTTCAGTGTTTACCAAAGAATTCGTTTTAATTATAACGCTGAAACAGTCTATTTGTCATTGCTTTTTATGTGTCGATAATGCACCACTTAGCAAATCAAAAATCTCTCATTCCGATTTAATCGAAACACCCCCACATATGATTATAAAGAACTGTAGCGTATGCTAAAAGGACTGTAGTGTATGCTATAAGAACTGTCGGGTGAATTCTAGTTCTATACTTTTTTATGCCGTTAAACAAATGCTCCCGTTTGAAAAAAAGGACAACGTCAAACGGCAGCAGCAACAGAAACAGCAGCAGAGCAATTTTGTTTTAATGCTGGCGTTGAAATTTCAATTGTCTCTATTTCAATTATTAGTTTCAATTATATTTGTTACAACTTTATATTGCAACATTGAAATTTAATTCTTTCAGTGTTTACCAACTAATTCGTTTTAATTATAACACTGAACCAGTCTAATTGCCATTGTTTTTCTTATGATGCGTCGAAAAATGCACCACCTTGCAAACCAAGAATTTCTCATTCCGATTTATTCGAAACACCCCCAATACTACAATTCAGGGCTGCAGTGTATTAGCCATTATCTACATCTAAGTCTATGTAGACGAACACAATTTAAGAACATGTCTGGGCGTCAAACGGCCTGCATCAGCAACAGCAACAGCAACGTAGAACAGTAACATTAACACAATTTTTGCCTGTTCGAAGTCGGAAGCGTGGCGGCCGTGGAAATGAGGAAAGTGTGCGGGGCGAGGGCGCATGTCCCTCCGGGCGGAGTTGCCGGTTCGAACTCTCCCCCCACCAAACGACGGCACAAAACTAATGCAACTTTGCTTACTTGCTTTAGCTCAGTTGATCTCCTGCCCTCCTGCCTTTCTGCCTCATTCGCAGACGATCTACACAAATTTCACATTACAATTTTTTTTTTCAATTTCAAGAAACAAATAAAAAAGGTAATTTTTTGTTTAAATTTCGACGTAACTGGAATATTTTCGACAAAAATCGACTTGTGTTGTGTGTTTTGGAGTGCTTCTCGTTTTGGATTTATTTTTAAAATTGTTCCGGAGTGCGACCAGCTCTTGGAAGACAGGTGGTTTTCAAAATCGACAAAAGGAATTTATTATTGAAAAATAAACAATAGTAAGTAATAGATTTAATTTAAAAACACCCCACGTTATATAACCGAGGCGGTCAAATTCGATCAAAAGCCAAATTTTCCTAAGGGTGCCTTTTTGTTGTAAATTCTCCTTTTTCGAATTTCCCCCGAATACTTCAGAGTGGCGCGTGATATCCAGTTTTGTCGGTTGGATCACCTTTGAGATATCGCCACGGCGTCGAGCGCCCCGGCCGTAAATAACAACCCCTCGCCTCCAGGATGAAATTTAAATTTAAATCCACGGCCCCCGGGGGCGGCGGCTCCGAGACATGCACCCTCCCGACGACCGGGTCGCCACCTGGGAGGCTCCTCCGTCCGAGCCAATCCGTCCAAACACCAACCCGTCTCGTTCGACAACGAAATAACAAAACTATCAAAAAACCTAATACTATTAATTTAAAAAAATGCTTGTAAAACGTACATAAAGTAAAAATGTATACAGGTTGTAAGAAAGCATAAATACAGGAAGTAACAGTACAACGCAAAAGCCACAATTATCAACTGGCCTTGTTTTAAAATAAATAATAGGAACGTTTAAATAAAAAGTTAGACCTTAAAAGCTTCAGGCGAAATTGCGATAATCAACAAAGATGAATACATCAAATATTTTCCAATAAAAAATCGGTTTTCAAAAGCTTGGAGGCCTGAACTTGTAAAAAAACAGCATCAGTTAAACACAAATTTCTTGTCCTTGGATCACAGCTTGTACATAACTTTTTTGTTTGCAATAGTTTTAAATACAATTAAAACCAAAAACTTCATAATTAAGAAAAAAAGGCTGTTTGTCTTTATGGCGACAAATTATATAATGAATTTATGACAAATACATATGTATGTGCTATTGTTGCTACTATTGCTCTAAGTTAACTTCTGTTGGTTCTCTCATTGCTGAAGACCAGACATTCCAGCCAATTATGGGTTTTTAAGCATAAAGCAAGAAATTTATTGCATTTATATTTTTTTTAAACAATTGCTTTGAGTCAGTAGTTTTGTTTTTTCAAATTTATATTGCCTGTGGGAAAAATATAATGTTAACATTATTTTATTTTTATGAGGGTATTTCATTCAATTACCCCCCGTTTGGGTAATGGTGTTTTTTAGAGAGAAAAAATGTAAGTACGTTGGTTTTGAATTTAAGGGCCACTGGATTCGAAACAAGGACCTTTATCTTAAGTCTGAGATGTGTCAACGCCTAAACCATTGCAGTCACCGTCACCCTTCAAATTAATATTTAAATTAACTATAGACTATATATATCTTATTTATTTCATTTTCCTATCATAGGTAAATAGGACTGGATTTTGTGCCCTAATGTGTGTCGAGAGTGAATGTATTTATCAGCATGAGTGTTTAGTGAGAGGATTGATGGCTGAATACTAAGTGCCCCATCAACACTTAGGTTGATTATATAATAGGTGTAGATGTGATTTAAGGATTAATAAATAATAAATTAATCTTTATTGCCAGTATAGATCTAAGATCGAGGAATTGAGAGTGCAGTACCTTCATTCTATATAGAGAGCTGTATAGTAAGCTTCTTGATATGAGAATCATGCTTGAGCAGGCAGCGAGTGTTTGTGATGACCCCCGTTCCAATTTTTGGAGGAATCAGGATTGTTCCATTGTTTTTAGTGCTGATAGTTTTGTGTACTTAGCCTGTGTCGATAGTGAATGTATTTTTTGGTGTGAATGTAGTGCAGGAGGGCTGATATGTTGAGAAATATTGAGTACCCCTTCGACCTTCAATTAGATTAGTTATATATGAAGTAATTTCTAGTAATGCACCACCCCAATTGAGAAAATGGTAAGTAAATAGGAAAGAATGTTTTTAAGAGTGAATGTGATTAGTTTGGATCTAGGAACTGCATGTGTTGGATGCTGAATTGTCCTAGCTGTTGAAAACACCCGGAGCCCAACCTCGGAGGCTGGACAGATAAAACTGAGGTCTGACCCAGGATTGCCAACATGGGGTGGGTGATTTTCGGGGCCTGCCGTTAATTTATTGTAAATTACAAAATCTGGACTTGCCGGTGAACTAAGGATAAGTGATAGTCTCAATGCTATAAATGTGCATACACATGCAGATTTGCCTGTATAAATTCAAATCTCATTTTATCAACTTATTACATTTTTTATATTTTTTTTTACAAATTATAGCAGCTTTTCAGCTAAGCTATAGTCGAATTCTTTAAATTGTATGATTTCTTTTATAAACATTCTATTACCGAAAACAGATCAATATTTTGTGAAATTTCCTCCTATTGTCTGTACTGGTTGATGAACCTGTAATTTAATCCTTACAGATTAAAGGGCTGGTCTGTTAAACTGATGATGGCAAAATGCTGACACACAGGTTGATAGGCAGACCATGATCAGTAAAGAATGACAGGTTCATCACAGTGTAAATCACAGGTGGAAATCTTCACAAAATATTTGTTTTGCGTTAAAAAAATATATTTAAAAAAAGCTTTTAACATAAGCAAATGAATATATATTTAAGAAAATATAATTTCTAATTTTTTTTAAATTTAATTACTAAAATAAGTGATAAAATGCAAGATTTAATTGATTTAATAATTCGTTTTATGCATAGCAATTATGTGTGTATATAATATTATTTCAGTACATAAGACCTAATCCTGTATAAGAATATAAGATAACTTTTTTTTTCTAACAATGTTGTTAAACAAAGTTAAGCTTTTGATCTACGTTTTATTCTACCTCAGCTGTTCATTATTTTTATGTAATATTTTTTATTTAAGCATAATGAATTAATCAATTTTAAATTATTTTAACAGTATATTTATTATTTTATTTTATTTGAATAAAAAATTGACAATTTTGTAAGGGCGAGACTTTCTTAGGAATTATGACTTTAGTGAAAACCTCCAGGCTGTATTTATTGTTTTGTTTTTATCACTGCTTTCTATTAATGTATTTTAATTTTGTTTGAATGATTATTTTTGTATAAAAAATTGTAAATAAATGTAATTGTTAATTTAAATGGTGGTTAATGATATTTTAAAAATGTTATCATTTGACCTGTCATGTTTCAGGGTACGATTTCAGACAAGAATTCAAGATGACTTGATGATCAGGTGTGGAAGTATATCTCTCTCTTAGAACCTCTTGTGTTCGATGGCTTTGCTGCATGTTGACCAGATTGAGATTCACAGGGACATAGAAAATAGTGAGGATTGTATTTCAGTTCAAAATGATGCGAAGGCACCTGACGAAAAAATGTCGACAAATGGGCAATTACATTGTGAACCAAATTTGCCCATCGAGTTCAATAAGGTAAACGAAGACGAGGGCGAGACTAAAAAGAACGATTTTACCTTTTTTAATATACCCTATGACAAAATGGGCTTAAACAACAGCGGCCTTTCTTCCCATCAAGGGGATGTCACTGAATTGGTTCCAGACCTCTTGTCTTCGGATTATGAAACGAAAAGTCTTTTAGGAGAATGCCCTCCTGATAGGTCAGATGGAAGTGATTCGGGGCTCGGCTCTGAAATTACAGATGACAGGACGTGTCATAAAACAGACTCTTTGTCTTCTGATGAACTGAACGTTCCTCCTGCTAATGACTGTGCCTGGGAATCCCTGCCCTATCCGAGTTCCGGCTTCTCCAGTGAACCACCCACCTCAAGCAGTTCAGAAGTCAAACCAAAGAGTATGCTTAAAAGGAGGAGAACAGATTCAATTGGACAAAGCCCTACAGCTAAAAAACATCGAAAATCTATTGCATTCGGAGAGGTCCATGTTTATTACTTTCCGAGAGCTCAAGGCTTCACTTGTGTCCCTTCTCAGGTATGATCATATTGTTTAAACATTTCTAATTAAACCAATTTAATATGAAAAGCATTTAAGGCTTTTGAGATTTTTTCTTTATTTATTTTGTTTTAAATAATTGTGTTACTTCAAGTAATTTGCTTTAAAAACCTTGACCAGTTAAGAATTTTTACACTATTTAGAAATTCTTTTATTTTTTATGTTACAGGGTGGTTCTACTTTAGGAATGCAGCTCAACCACACGGACAGAAGAGTGTTTTCAATTGCTGAACATGTTTCTGAGCAAAGACGAGTACACCGAGAAATTCTCGCTCAGATCAGAAGCAGCTCTTCAACAACTACATCTTCATCGAGCGATTCTGATACTGATGATCAGAACACCGAATCTGAGCTAGATCCTGATAATTATTTTTTTCTTCAAGTATGCCTTTTCTCTTTTGTTTTGTCACCCTTCTGAGGAATGTAGTAGGTTGTTGGTTCTAATTAGTTTTTTGCTCTTCAGCCTGTTCCTACACGACAAAGAAGAGCATTACTCAGGGCAGCAGGGGTTAGGAAAATTGATACTCTTGAGAAAGACGATTGTCGAGACATAAGAACATCAAGGGAGTTTTGCGGCTGCGCTTGTAAAGGTTTCTGTGATCCTGACACGTGTGCTTGCTCTCAAGCTGGAATTAAATGCCAGGTTAGAAAAATAAATATACTAACATATAAGACTTGAATTGACTTATTGATGATATAATCATTCTATTTAATCTAGAAATAATGTTATTCAACAATGTTAAGTTTGTAATCATAGGCCCACTTTTAAATTGTTTCCATTTTAATACTTTTGAATCTTAATTTTAAAAATTGCTTTTGAAGGTGGATCGGCTTAACTTTCCGTGCGGATGTACACATGACGGTTGTGCCAATTCGAACGGGAGGATCGAGTTCAACCCGATGAGGGTGCGTACTCATTTTATCCATACTATGATGCGTCTCGAGATGGAAAAGAAAAGAGAAGAAGAAGTAAGCATATTGGCGTTGCCGCTTTCCGATGATAACCAGTCAAACTTCCAAAACTTCCCGTATAGAGACGACCTTTACAGCTTTTCTTTCGACCAGGGTCAAAGCACAAACTTCAATTATACATACAACAATTACAGTTCTCAGTACAACACAGATATGTCGAGCAACATCGATTTTCACCACCAGCCATACGACAACTTCCATCAGAGTTTCACCACCGAACACAGATACCCAGAAGATAACAAATTAGAGTCTTTTTCAGAGCTCTTGCAAGGGAGATATTCGGAAAACGTGTTAGACAGTCTGACATCATTGCCCGAAGATTTACCATCAACTTCTAATAAAAGTATCGTGCAAGATGATTGTGAAGCGGAAAATTTTGGTGAAATAATTAAAAAAACGATGGTAGAAAGTGCAACAGCTTAAACTTGTATACACATATTGGGTGATATTATTTGATAAAGTTAAAATAGGAGTAAGATACCTAAAGCTAAGAAAACAGTTGAAAATTATTGGATATTAAATTAATTTTTTTATATAATTTTTTAGATGATTTTACCTATGAAAATAGTTATCCCAATAGGAATTTTAATTTAATTTAATTTTGTTTAAAGACAACAACTTGAATAATATTAGGTTTTCAAACATTTCAAACTCCACTTAGAATCTATAATGGATTGTGCTTGTTTAAATAATATGTATGAAGTATGTTTTATATATGTAAATAATGTATTATGCACATTAATTTTGTAAATACAAAAGGTCAAGTATATTCTTAAAAAAATGTGTAAATACTGTACACACAAATATATTTATTTTCAATTTTTTATTTAATTGTATGTAAGAAAACAATTTAACACAGTACAGTCTCTTACAAAAGCAACAGTTTTTTATTTAGTTAAAAGTTTTGACGTTTAGGGTTTTGTTAAGAATAACCGATGAATTATCGATCAATAATTAATTGAAATTAAGTTAGTGCTGTTTTTATGACACCCAAGTGTTTTATTCTGGTCTTTCATGTCTAAAACAGTAGCCAAGAAGATGTAAAATTTTAGGGACTGGACTGTTTTAAAAAGGACTTTTTTCTCTAATTTTGTTTATTTTCTATACGAAACAACTTATTAAAAGAACGCTTTATCAAAAATTCTAAAATGAACATGTTAAACGTTATTAGCATAATTACAATATGTTTGTTCACAGTTCACACTTTATACAATCTGATGTAAAATGTTTGGTTATTAATAATTCAAGTAATTTCATATGTTGAAGAGGTATGAATATTTTTGAAATCACAATTTTTTCTAATTTCTTTATATGGTTTGTTTTTAAACAAAGAATATTGTTGGAATGCTATGTGACTACCAACTTTGATGCCCTCTTGTTAAACTGTACAGAACAAAACCATGTTTCAAATTAGAAAAAGACTTGTGCTTGTGAAAATGTATGTCTTGTGCTTTACTGGCAGATTAATCGTTGTTTACTGTATATATTAAAACTCGTGTATCTGTAATCCTTGAACCATCTAAATCTATCCTAAATTTATTTTATCCTAACATATTGTGACAAAAAAACTGACTGTATGAGTAAAATACTGGGTCAAATTATCATGAATACAGTAATGATGAGAAAATGTAAAATTTGACAATTTTCAATGTAATAAAGTTAGCTGTAATGTTTTAAGTCAAGAATTTAAAATAAGAAATACAAATTTTATTCAATGTTTTTAAATAACATTCTTGGTATTCAGAAATTTTTTTTAAGTTTACAAGTTTACTATCAGAATTTTTTTTAACAATTTCCCAATTGTAAAAGCATTGGCTTTGAAACTGAACAAAGCAAGAGGGCATTGTTAACAGTTACGGAAAATAATTGTATTACAACAATCATTCTATTACCTAGATATCCCCAATTATATAAACTGACTAGCTATTCGTAGCATTGATATTATATTGTTTTTAATTAAAAACAAACCGCTCTTTAATAAATAGAATAATGATTATTAATTGAAACATAAAAACTCCAAAAATTGAGTGCTTTAGGGACTAAGTATATGTAGTTATAGGATATAAGGAATTGAGGGCAACAAAGTACCAAATTTTTACTATAAAATAGTTTAAAAAAAAAGAAAAATTGTTATAGTTGGTAATTTTAAAGTTGTATCGTTAGTGCAAATCACCAAAATTTGCAATTGTAAATAAATGTTTGTCATTTGTTAAGACTTAACTATAAATTGCCACATTAAGTGCAGAAAATTTTGAGAAAGAAATGCCTGGTTTGATCATTTTTTAAAGGATTGTTTTGTTTGAAATATCAATTGTTTACATTCATTTGTTATGTTTAGACAATGTACAAGTTGCTCATGATTTCTTCCTCATTCTTAAAATAAAAAATTTAAAAAAAAAATCCTTGGAATAAAACGAAAAAAAATTTAACTTATAAACGAACAAAATTTGATTGGCATGAAAGTGTTTGTCAATTGAAATAAATATAGAAAAATAAAATAGTTTTTAAAAATATTAACCAGAAAACAGTGTAAATTAGGATAAAAGTTTAAAATGGAAGTTGGACGATATAAGCAGGAGTTGAACAATGCATGGGGCCAATCGAGTAGTTTCGTGACCTACGAAACTCGTTTTGTCATTACAAAAAAAAATTTGGATGAAATCTGCATTTGACTTGACTCCTGCATCAAAATTAAAAATCTCTTTAATGTAGATTAGAGAATATTAAAAAAAAAAATGTATTTTTATGCAAACTAAGTGACAAAATTCTATTGAATCATTTTTACATTATATTAGCATTAATGAATATGCCTTGAAGAATTATTAACCTCTTATTGTAAGGTTTTTATAAAGAAAACCATTGTTAATATTATTAATGATTAACTCCAATTGTTATAGTTGAGAGCCTCTTTATAAGGAAAAAATAATGTACAAAAAGTGTTTTTTCTAAGTCTTTAATAATGTTTTAATAAGCTTATTTATTTGATTTATTTATAGTTCCTGAGGGCTCAATATTTTACCTGAAAAACTACCCTTAAGTATAAAGTGCATTATAATGATGAAACAAGTGTGTTTTATTTGGATTTTACCATAGCAATAATTTTTATGTAAATAATATCGAAACCTAGTTACATAGCAATATTTATAAAGAAATTGTGTTTAAAAAATATTTATTACAATATTTGGGCAAACATTTTATTTTTATAATACAGTTTATGTACGTCTTAAAAAGTGGAGAAAAATGTAACTTATTAATGAAATTAGGAATTGAAATCAATTACTCATAGTTTTGCATTGACCAAATGAAACAAAAAATGTATAACTTAACTATGTTAAAAAAAGGAAAAGAAAAAAAGGTCTAATGTGAAAAAGGTGCCTATTTTTCTGGTGGAAATTTACTTTTTAAGACTACCGTTTTTGAAGGATATTTCTTCTTGGCGAAAATGTTTGTGCTTAATTTACCGGACTTAATATTTATTCTGTACAGCTTTTTCTATTACTACAATAACATAAATGAAGAAAAAGAAAAAAAAAGGAATAAGAAAAGATGTGACTGAAAGTATTCATCAATCTTTAACTTATTATAGAGTTATCAAAATATATATCAATTGTGTTTATTAGCCTCGCTTTCTATTTTCTATTCCATATCCCTATTACAACTCATTTAATTGAAATTAACGTTCCCTCAGCTCGCTTGTGTCTTTTATGGCCATTGTCATTCCAGCTGTACTGCTGACACGATCAGTAAGCCAGCATGATAATGATGGCGTTCGATTCTAATAAGTTCATGACATGATAAAGATAACTTAGGTGGCTGCGTCGGTGAGCCGAATTGCCAGTTTAAAAAAAAACTAGGACAAAAGCCAAATTGAAGAGGTACAACTAAGTTGGAGGATTCAAAGAAATTTGAGATTTGACTAATTTTTCAAGAGATTTAGTGAGGTTAGAGATAATGGAAATGAGGTGGAATTGATGGAATGAGGCTAGGGGTTTGACCAAAGGATTTATTTATTTATTTTTATTATAATGAGGGTTCGCAACAGCAGCGGACGGCTGGATTCGAACCTGGGACCTTTACCTTACATCGATGAGCGTCATGTCAACGGCTAAACCGTTGCGTCCACCGACGCCCCTCTAGGTACAGTGTTCTATTGTAATTTATTGAAATGAAAAATGAATTCAGTTCAGAATAAACCTGTACAACTGCAACAAACCACAACAGATAGTGAAAACAGGTGCTCGAGCCGTACTGAGGCTTGCCATCCATCAAGCCACAAGCCTTGACTAAAGATTGCTTCCATGATATTGGAAAAAGGGAATTTTATAAGAAAATTTTTTAAAATTCAATTAAGTACAAGGATGGTTGGAAAATGCCTTGATCAATTTTACTGGAATTCCGTTTGGACCAACCCTGTTGGTGCTTATGCTCATGATGGTATCTTTTAATAATATAATCATAAATCTTTTTTTCCCATAATGGAAAATTCAAAAGATAATAATTTTTTTTTAAATTCGAAGTTGAATAATTAAAATACATAAAAATAAATAAAATTAGCATATAATCATAAAAGTATTTTGTTACAGTTATTACAGCCTACTTCCCATAAGTATAAATAATTGTGCTGGATAGCAAGAGTTGTAAAATATAAAATGTCTACAACATTAATTTATATATATATATATATATAGGCAAAAAACCAACGAGGGCTATCATTGCCTTTATGTAGTTAGGGGTCGGTATGTGTACAGTGGTATGTAAGTGTGAGTGTGTGTGTGGTTTGTGTCAGTTCTGGGGAACGCGTACAGCCAGCCGCCCGGCCACCACCGCCGAAGAAGGAGGGACCCAGGGGCTTCTCCGTCTTTTGTTTTTCTTTTAAACATTAATTTAGAAAAAAAGAAGAAAGACTTAATTTCTTGAGTCAAGCATGTATGAATGTATAAATTTTTTGTAACTGACTAAAGTTCTGAAATTACTGATATTAATTCTATTTCCATAAATATACATTGATGGACAACTTTAACGCACCACTCAATTTATTTAGTTTAAGATTACATCCATTCTACTGATTAACCCATTTGCAAAAAAAGTAGCATTACGCCATTCCATTCTGCTACACCTAAAGATCGCTTTCAGTTAACCTTTTTCCTTGTTGATTTCAACTTATATTATTCTTATTCTCAAACCTTATTCAATGGCTCCAGCCAGGCATTTGAGTGAATATGGCAGTGTCAGGGTCATAACATTATTAGGGGAAGGATACATCCAGTGTGAAGTCGCCAGGAGACTGAGTGTACTTGACTGAACTTGACAACAGGAAGGGGTTTTCTGCACTTCAGAAGGATTTCTAGGGCTTCACACTAGAAGGCCAGGACAGGTCGACCGAGGTCAGTCATTAGGCTCTAAGAATTGCAGCATTACGGAAAAGGAGATAAGAAATC